ACCTGTAAAAATGTGGCTTGGTCCTTCTCTGATGAGTGTCATTCCGCCTTTGTCTCAAAGAAGCTTTCACATCCACCCCCATCCTTACTCACTGGGTACCCGATCATCCACTAATAGTTGAAACTGATGCATCCGACTATGCAATCTCAGGTTTTCTCTCCATCCGTTGTGAGGATGATGAGATTTGCCTGGTTGCTTTTCGCTCGAGAACACTGACAGCGCCCGAATGTCAGGGACGTGTCCAGGGTGGAGGGGGCCCGGCTGTAGTGCCCGGCAGAGGGACCCTCTCGGGGGACGAAGCAGGCGTGTGTACTGATGGGCCCGATCTGGGACTGTAGTCCCTGGCCACTTGGACTGAAGTGGAAAACGTGAATTGTTATTAAAAGGAAGAACTACACTACTTACCTGAAGTGGAAAACATGAGAAGAAGGTTACTTCTTCAGTTCCCACTTCAGGTACATTTATGTACATGCGGCTTGGGTCACATGACGAGTGCCACATCATCTATGGAGAGAGCCGCAGCCATCTGGGTATCCCCATGGGGGATCCCGAGGGCATCCGCTGCAGGTGCGCGTGCTGGGCATAGCAGGAAGTCGTCCGGGGTGTCCGAGCTGGATGGGTCAACAGTACAATGATACAAGGGAAGGTGGTCCATGTAAATAGAAAGAATAAACAGAAAGGGAGAATGAAATAAAGGAGAAAGAGAAAAGGAGGAAAGGGAGGAAGGGGAAGAGGGAGGAAGGAGGGAGGAGGAAGGATGGGTAGCAGGGAGTGGGTGAGCAGGTGAGGTGGGCCCAGGTGGGCCCGGGTGGGCCTGGGTGGAACTGGGTCAGGCGGGTGTGCCCTGACATCACCCCCACTTCGCCTCAAAGCAGCCAGATGGTTCTCTCATTCTCTCCCTGGGGCTTGGGGGTGCGTCCTGTGGAATTCCTCGATCCGGTTGGGGGCATGGGTTAAGTGGCCCCGTTGGAGCCATTGGTTTTCTGAGCTTGGCCAACCAACGAACTTTACCAGGTACCAGAGTTTCCGGCATAGCCACTTAGAGTCCAATACCTTCTCGACCTCGACCTCTTCTTCTCCGTCTACAAGTTCTGGACCTGGGTGGGGGTCAGTGGGTCATTCTGGGATATCATCTGGGCGGTGTGGTCTGATGTTCGTTACGGATACAACCAGGTGGATTCCCTTCTGGCGTGCGGTAAGTTGGAGTTTGATGGCAGCAGGGGAGATGACTTTGACGAGCTTGAAGGGGCCAAGCCATTTGTGGTCCAACTTTTTGGTTGGGCGGTCAGTCGTGTAGTTTTGCGCGCTGAGCCAGACTCGGTCACCTTCTTGGTACTTTGGGGCTGTTTCGTGGCCTCGGTCATAGTAATGGGCCATCTCGTCCACTGCATGTTCCAGTGCGGCCTTCGCCTCCTCTTGCATTTTCATCATCCTTGATGAGAACACGTCAGCAGCTTCCACCTTGGACGTGCGTGTGGGCTCTGTCCCCATCCTGGGGTGTTGGCCGGTGTCGAGTTCGAAAGGAGTTCGGTGGGTGGAGTGGATGCGGTTGTTGTAGGAGAATTCCGCCAGCGGAAGCCAGTCGGCCCAGTCGTCTTGTCGATGGTTGATGAACACCCGGAGATAAGCTTTGATCTTTTGGTTGACCTGCTCAGTCTGTCCGTCCGTCTGGGGGTGGTAGGGCGTTGAAGGGGTCAGTTTGACGCCTAGAAGGTCTGCGAGCTCTTTCGAGAAGCGGGAGACGAAGGCGCTCCCTCTGTCGCTGAGGATCTCCTCTGGGAGCCCGTGGTGCCTCCAGACGTGCTCTAGAAAGAGCCGTGTGATACCCTCCGAGTCTACGGTCGTCACGGTGGGGACCGTGTGGATACGCTTGGACAGGCGGTCTACTACCACCAGGATGGCATTATAGCCTTTGGACTCTGGGAGCTCTCCCACCATATCTACTGAGATCACTTGCCAGCGGCGGGTGGGGACCTTGTTTGGGGTGAGCTTCCCAACTTTTCGTGAGGGGAAAGATTTGATGCGGTTGCAGGTGTCGCACCCGCGTACGTACCGCCCGACATACTCTGCCATCCGGGGCCACCAGTAGTCGCGGGAGACAAGTTCCAGGGTTTTCCATTGCCCCGAGTGTCCTGTCGCCTGCACATCATGGTGTAGCCGCACAAGATCATGGTGGAGTTGGGGGTCTTTAGGGACGTACACCCTCCCCCGATACAGAACTAGTTCACCCTGCCTCTCCCATTTGTCCGACCTTAGCGTCCCTTCTCCCAGCTCTCGCATTGCCTTTACCACTTTCTCATCGTGGTCTTTTGCTTTGCGTATCCGCTCTAGAATTCCTACCTCCTCTCCCTCTACCGAGATTCCCTCTGTTGCACGAGCCTCAAACCAGGCTGGTTGGAGGAGGGTTAGCCCTTCGTTGTCGTCCTTCCCTTTCGGGTGGTCAGCATGACAGGAGAGTGTGTCCGGTTTTCCCATGAGCTTCCTGGGATGGTGGACAAGGGTAAAGTGGAAGCGAGAGAGGAAGAGGGACCACCTAGCCTGGCGTCGATTCAGCCTCTGGGCCATCCGGAAGTACCCCAGGTTACGGTGGTCAGTATAGACCTCGACTTTCTCCTCAGCGCCTTCTAGGAAGTGTCGCCACTCTTCGAGAGCTCAGACGATCGCGAGCATCTCCTTGTCGTACACCTCGTAGTTACGCTCCACGTCCGTGAAACTCTTGGACATGAACGCCACCGGGTGGAACTCCCCATCGGGTTGGAGCTGGGAGAGGACTGCACTGGTTGCGAAATTGGAGGCATCACACTCGAGCCTGAAGCGGCCCGAGTCAGTGGGGAAGGAGAGGACTGGGGCAGTGGTGACAGCTTCCTTAAGGGCACGGAAGGCATTGTCTTTGTCCGTGCCCCAGTTCCAAGCCTGGGTCTTCCGGGTCAGCTTGTGGAGCGGGCATGCCTTTTCAGAGAAGTCCTTGATGAACCGGCAGTAGAAATTTACGAACCCTAGGAAGGACTGCACCTCCTTCACCTTGGTTGGGGTGGGCCAGTCAAGGACTCCATGGATCTTTACGGGGTCCATCGCAACGCTACCCTCTGAGATGACGAGGCCGAGGTACTCGATCCGGGTCCGCTTGAATTTGCACTTCTCCGGCTTCAGGAACAGCCTCCTCTTCCATAGCGTTTCCAGGACCTCCCGGACGACCTTCCGGTGCTCCTCTAGGGTAGCCGTGAAGATGAGGATATCGTCCATGTAGCAAATGATGACCTCCCGGTCGATGAAGTCCCTGAGGATATCGTTCATCATCGTTTGGAAGGTCGTGGGGGAGTTACACAGCCCGAAGAACATTACCATGGGCTCGAACAACCCTCGGTTGGTTGCGAATGCTGCCTTCCACTCATCCCCATCCTTGATCCGGACGTTGTTGAACCCCCAGCGTAGTCCAGGGCGGAGAAGTACTTAGCGCTCCGGAGGTGGGCGAGGATGTCTGAGATCAGCGGGAGTGGGTATGAGTTCTTTACAGTAATCTCGTTCAGCTTCCGGTAGTCCTGTACTAGGTGTAGTGACCCATCTTTCTTTTTGACAAAGAAGACTGGTGCCCCCATTGGGGACTTGGACGGTCGTATGCGCCCGTTCTGCAAGTTCTCGTGCAGGAACTCGTCCAGCTCTTTCTGTTCCGGCTGTGAGAGGGGGAAGGTCTTTCCCCTTGGCAGCTTGGCGTCTGGTACCAGGTCTATAGCGTGGTCCCAGGGCTTCCAGGGGGGAAGCTGGTCGAAAGCTTCCTTTGAGAATACGTCCCGGAAGTCCTGGTAGTGCTCTGGTACTAGCATCTCAAACGATGTGGGTTCTGCGCCTGTGCTGATGGACCGATTGTGTGTACACGTGTGGGAATATTACCGGTTATATTCATACATGCCGATTACCTGCACCCTGTGATATTCTTGCATATTCTATGATCATGTGATCCTATCAGTGTATTGTTTGGTTTCCTAAATACCATGCTCTTCATGTATATAGCTGAGACTTGCTGGGGATGTTCCTTTCCCCCAGCCTTAATCACAACTAGGTTCATTAGCACAAGCACTACTGCTATGTCTGCCTCACCAAGCTCTACTGCCTTCTGATCCCATGGCTTCCAGGCACCATCTAGTTCTACACCAGTGCAACCACCTACTGTGTCTGATCTGCCCATCAACACTGATGTGCATGGTGAAGCTGATGACAGTGAAGTTGCTGGAGACACCAACAACAATGGCACTGATAGTGATGACCCTACCTGTTAGACACTGGTTCGGGGTTGGCACCGAGGGTCGCCATTGCGGGCTGCTATAGGCTGCAATGGCCGTGATGCCGTGAACAAGGCCCGGGGGTAGGGCATTTGGCCTCAGCAACTCTAAAGGGAGTGCTGTGCCCCTAGCTGTCTCTTGGCCCTCATTTCGGACTCACTGGGGTTGCCTTGTTGGGGTCAGAACTTAGGGGTCGTGGTCATATCGATATTAGAGCTAAAGTACAATAAAGTATCATGCAGGATATATATAGGAGGAAGGAATGAATGGAAGCGGACCCGGGCCGGAGGCTGAAGGGTCCGGAAGCAAACAAGAATAAGGAGTGGGGTTGGCCGCATAGCGGCTGGCAATGACCGAGGGTCAAAACAAACAATAACAGATAAATAAAGGAAAGAGCGTAGGGCCGTGATAGTGGCGATGGTATCGTAGCGGTGCTGGACTCGGAGTTGGGCCAGAGTCGGGTGCGGGGATGATAGTGGCCCTGTAGGGGCCAAGTGGGCAGGGTAGAGGAGTTGCGCTGGGCACGGTGCCGGAGGCGGACTTGGGGTGGGAAGGTTGGTGTGGCTGAGGGGGAGTCGGCCAGGTGCAGGGGAGCCTAGGGGCAAGCAGGGGAGTGAGCAGGGAGTCCTCAGGGAGGATAGGGCTGAGGTTGGGGCTCGTGCTCATGCTCGCATAGTGGTAACGGGCTCAGGTGGCATCGGGATGGGTGGCTAACGGGCCGGAATGCACAGCCGTGACACTACCCCTGGTGATGCCTCTACTGTCAAAAGCATTGAGATTTCGATCACAAAATATGCAGCCCTTTATGCCATTTTCCATTCTCCTTTTTTATCGAAAGCTTCCCTTCTGGTGGAACTCAGCAGTGATTTCCACTCATGGGCACCAACAGAAATGTTTTCATCTGTTGAAAATTTCAATCAATTCTGTGTCCACAAAATTCTCACAATGAAATATCCTATCTTAACAAATGAGCTCTGCACTCATTCTGGAGCTATGCCTTGGTCAGCAAAGGTATGTACTCATGTGCTAGTGATTCTCCTTGTGGCTTTCACTAATTAGGCATGTCTGGTACAACTAGTTTGTTTCAGCTGTTGGGGCACGAATGCAGCAAATGATGAGCTGCTTGCGGCAATCAAGTTTTCAACTGTTTGGCATGGACCTAAGCATACCAGTGCTGAAGTTGGGTCATGGCCCAACTGTGGAACAACTTCAAGAATATTTGGGAGTAATCCCTGATTCTACCAACCCCTTTGACCACTTGCCTTTGTTCTTGTTCCCAGACAATGACTGATCTCATCATCAACATGTGTTTCGCTCACAGGTCCTTGCAGCTGTAAGTATTTCACTTGTGGGTTATACATATTATTCTACTCACAGTGCTACAACAAGGGGATAATTGTCATTATTTTTGGTCCTTCTGCACTCAATGGCCCTGTTTCTTCCATCCCCTTTCCAGGATCCCCTGAGCTTGAGAATTGGGAGCCTGCAAAATTATATGCATCACAAAGGGCACTAGGGAGCATGTATGAGGTAACTGAAATAACCCCTGGCACTTTGGCCATTGTTTCAATGCTGGTATGCCATAAGTAGAATTCTGCTTGAGAATCTTGTGCTGACCAATTATATCTAGACAACAGGTTTATTTCATTTTGTCTGGTGACACTGAGATGGTTTCTGGTTCTGGCAAGCCCAGTGCCACCAACTATGTTGACATCCTTCTCAACTTCTACCATTTTATCCTTACCCTACTTCACCAAGAGAAAACGACCACAGTCCAACCAATGCATAAGACCATGGATTGGTACAAGCATTTGTTGTTTGGTCCTCCTGCAGGAGCAGGAGATGCACATGCATCAGGACGAGCTGGAAGTCTTTCTTTGGGCTTGAGTGCTCTTCTTGAAGAAATGGAGCTTAGTGGCAGTAATGTGAGTCTTCCATCAGATTGATGCAGGCTAGAGTTCCACACTGTGTGAGTACTAAAAATTTACCATAGGAAGCAGATCCAGTGTCACTCAATGTTAATGTTTCCTCTGAAATGCCTTGTGTGTTCAGCCAATTTTCCCTTATATATTTTGGTACTGACAATTTTGCAGAAGGTCCAGAACCAGATGTACAGACTGAAGTGGTGGCTACCCCAGTCAGCCTGGATGAGGGGAGGGAGACAAGGTATGGGTGCAGAGGCCGGGCCCACACAGGTGACACTTCTGGGAATGACAGTTCTCAAGAAGTTAGTCGTGGAAGGAGAGGCCAGAGAGGTGGAGCCTGGGGTAGCAGCAGTCGCAGAGGTCATGGAAGTCATGGAGGCAACAGCACTACACATGGTGATGAATAGGTACTGTCAATGTACAACTCCTCAAATTCTTTGTCTGCATGTAATGTTAGTCTCTATGTGTAACATCTTGTCAGGGACAGCTCTGAAAGCAGCAAAGTCCTGGTGCTGGGGACTTGGTGGGACGAGAAATGGCTGTGCATAGTGGTGGTCCTGTTGTGGGGTGAGTGTCCCTGACCACTTAGTCTGAAGTGTGAAAGTGAGAAGAAGCCTATTTCCTCTTCCTATATATATCCTGTATGAAACATTATAGTACTTTAGCTCTGATATCGATTTGACCATGACCCCCAAGTCCTGACCCCAGCAAGGCAACCCCAGTGAGTCTGAAATGAGGGCCAAGAGACAGCTAGGGGGCACAGCACTCCTTTAGAGTCGCTGAGGCCAAATGCCCTACCCTCAGGCCTTGTTCATGGCATCATGGCCATCACGGCTTATAGCAGCCTGCAATGGCGACCTTTGGTGCCAACCCCGGACCAGTGTCTAACACTAAGGTACAATGGTTTCTAAACTACAGGTATATATAGAGGACTTTACACAAAGTCCAAAAGGTACTGAAAGGTTCTGAAAGGTGCCAAGGGATAACCTGAACAGGGAACCCAGGTGTCAGGTCAAGGAGGGCAGAGAAGAAGGCCAAGGAATGAATGGGAACAAGAAATGGGTAACCAAGGTTAGCCAACTGAATTGAAAGAAGACATCAGTCATGAGAGAAACAGAAGATGACTAATCAAGAAGTGAAGGGTAGAGTCGCTGGGGATGCAGATACATAGCTCTGAAACTGGAGTTACACATCCAAGGAATATTGGGTGACTCCAATAAATGAAATGGATAGAAGGTTCTGGCTCAGGTCCGAGCATCTGGGGTGGAGATGGCTAAGGGTGCCAGTGTCAAGGACTAGTTGTCAGGGCCCAGCCTCGGACTCAGAGGCTCCCTGACCTCAGCCCCCATCTAACCTGTCCTCACACTATGTGGGGCATGAGATGTATAGTAAAAGGGAAGAGAATATATACACTTGCCTATGCGGGGCATGAGATGAGAAGAAGGGTAAAGGTCTCATCTCCCCGCATGGTTGCTATATAAAGGAATGGGTCACATGCCCACAACTATACAGCTCTTAGAGTTGTGTAGTGTGACCCGGAGGGAACATCCAGGTGGCAGTGCCAAGCGTGGGAACGTTCTGGGCGAGTTGCTCGCCCAGAACTGTGGCTGTGACCCGTGGGAACATTCTGGGCGAGCTGCTTGCTCAGAAAGTTCCCATGCTATCCCATGCGCGCATGTACACAACACACAAAGGCAACAACAAGGCAACAGTCAAAGAATAAAAGGGGGGTAAAGTAGGTGGGGAGTCCGGGGCACCCTAAGGCAGGGTGCTGAACCCTGACACTAGTCCAGAGCAGGGGCAGTGGAAGTGGAAGTGGAGTGGAACAGTGGAGGGAACTGGGACAGGGTATAGTAATGTTGAAGGGAGTGGTGTGTCAGGGGATGAACCCTGGGTCCCCATGACCCCTCTCTATGGCCCACAGCCTAACCTGTAAACACAGCCCATCTCAGGTCATAACTATCTGTGGGTAGGAAAGTGTCAGGGGATGCCTGGTTATCCGGCCCCCCTTTACTCTAAGCAATATCAATGATGTAATCATTAGCCGAGATTGTGTGAGATAATTATGTAGTTAGAACGCAGATATAACTCATTGCGCTATATTCACTATCACATCACCCCTTACCTGATATTCCCTCATTTCCCATGTCTTCTATCTTCCTATTTGATGTCATGCTTCTATCGGTTATCATCTTCCCAATGTAACTGTGCTCTCGTGAGTTAGCAGAACTCATGTACATAAGGCTACTATGCCAGCTGGGCTAGCCCCCCAGCTTTGATATCGACTAGTTTCCTGGGGATACTCTTACATTGCGAATAGACATGCGGACTCTGACAGAAAGTGAGAAGAAGGTTAACTTCTCACTTTCCCACAGTGGCCCCAATATGGCAAAAACTTCTGGGGATACCCGGAAGTCACATGAGGGCAGGATCTGGGGCCAGATCATGCGGCGCACAGAGCATGCAGTGTGTCATATCCATACATACTGTTAGAAACGGGTGGATACAGACAACTCCGGAGTGGAATTGGAGACTTAGCGTGGAGGGACCTTGGCCTCAGCGACTCAAGCGGAGCACTGTGCCATTGCTGTTTGTCCATTTGGTCCTTAATGCGAGCAGGAAGTCTCTAGGGGGCATTTCAGGTCGATTTCAGACTGAGCCCAAAACGAGTATGTACAAGCGCCGATATATATATTGGAGGGGGAAAAGCACAAGGAAACAAAGGGGATCCGAATCGGAACGAAGACATCTGAACGGGAACAAAGGGTAGACAGAAGCGGAGCAGTACCGAAGGTCACAAGGCAGAACCTGTGATACGTCCGAAAGGAGGTAGGGAGGGCGAGGCCCAGAGGGGCAGGAGGATGAGGAGAAGTGGGGATGATGACTAACTGGCTAGAATGGGAAGAAGCAGCAGTCCAAATAGGGATGAGGGGAAAACGTGAAAGATACATTACAAGTGGCAAAAGTGCCAAAGGCGATCTGCGAAGCTTGGAGGTTGCAGAGCTTATGGAGGTTATGGAGGTGGGGTTGAAAGTCCGAGGAATATTGGCAATGGTGTTTACGTAGTATGAGGTCACCAATGCAATGGACTAAGACCGAGGTGGAGTCAAAGTCCAAGGTAGGGACTATGATGGAGGCTCAGAGCAAAGGTACGAGCGGTGCCTGAGTATGAAGTACAGGACAGCGGTGGAAGGTCGTAACTTGGCAGGAGGTTGGTGGAAGAGTACCAGAGGGAGGAGAGAGGAGAAGGTAAGAGGGAAGGAGTGGCGGAAAGGAGAGTTGTCTGGTCCAAAGGTGAGTATCGCAGTGGATGGGCAGTGTTGTGAAGGAGGAGCAGAGTAGGAGGAGGAGTAGTAGGAGGGTGGTGAGAGGGGTGGTGTTCGGTCTGAGGTGAGTATCGGAGCAGACAGAGATAGGGGAGGAGAGGGAAGGAGGAGTAGAGGTGGCATGGGGGGTAGAAGGAGGCGTGTTGCCAGGACTGAAGGTGAGTATCAGAACGGGCAGCGGTAGGGTATGACTCTGGAGGTGAAGAGGGTGGAGGTCTGGAAGTCGGGTCGGGGTCAGGTATGCATGGATATGACACATACCCGATCCCAATCCAACTTCCGGACCCTCTCCACCACCTCCAGAGTCCTAGCTTACCCCTGTCTGCTCTGATACCTGCCTTTGGACATGATGCCACTCCTCTCCTCACCTTCCGTCCCTCTCCTACCTTATCCCCATCCACTCTGATATCCACCTTCAGACCTGACATCACTCCACTTACTCCTCTCCTCCACCCCTCTTCTGCCAACCTCTGCCAAAGTTACGACCTTCCACCACAGTCCCATACCCTGTACTTGGACACCACTCATACCTTTGCTCTGAGATCTTGTCATGGTTCCGACCTCAGACTTTGACTCCACCTCAGCTTAAGTCCATTGTATTGGTGACCTCACTTCATGTAAACTCCATTGCCAATATTTCTCGGACTTCCAACTCGGACTCCATAACCTCTGTAAGCTCCACTACCTCTGAGTTTTACAGAATGCCCTCAGCACTCTCACCACTTGTACTGTATCCTTTGCACTTTCCCCTCATCCCTATTTGGACTACTGCTTCCTTCCATTTTAGCCAGTTAGTCACTTCACCTCATCCTCCTGCCCCTCTGGGCTTCGCCCTCCCTACCTCCTTTTGGATGTACCACAGAGTCTAACCCATGACCTTTAGTACCACTCTGCTTCCATCATCCCCTTGTCTCCATTCGGATGCCTTTGTTCCAATTCTGACCCCCTTTGTCATATCCATACAATCCTGACCTCCCTCCAGGCTCCGGAACTCCGAACCTGACTTCCGGAGTCCTACTTCCCTTCCATCACCTTCTCCTTGCCAGCTTACAAGAGGTTATCCCACCTCCGGCTCTGACACCACCTTCGGTCTGACTCCAGAACATTCCGGGTCCGACCCCAACCTTGACACCTTCCAGATGAGTACACAACACCTATGCACCCGACTCCGGACCTCCACTCCGGAATCCCGTTTGCATCTCTGTCTCCAGAACCTCCAGTCTTAGCTCCGACCTCAGACTTTGACTCCACCTCCGCTTATACCCATTGTATTGGTTAGCTCATTCCATTTAATTACCTTTGCCAATATTCCGGAGTTTAACTTCCGAGTTTGGACTTTCCGGACTTATGTTAGAACCGGGTGGATTTGGACGACTCCGGAATGGAATCGGAGACTTAGCATGGAAGGACCTTGGCCTCAGCGACTCAAGCAGAGCACTGTGCCATTGCTGGTTGTCCTAGGGGTCCCTAATTTTGGATCTAGCAGAGGGAAAGTCTCTTGGGGGGAATTCAGGTCGATTTCGGACTGAGGTTACAAGTTACTGTTGGAATATCAACAATCGGTTCCGACGACGGAGTGGCGAGGACAGTGTTGATTGTTGGTGGCGGAAGTGAAGTTTTGGGGCATGTCTTTTGCACCCCATTTTTCTTCTTTATGCGACGGGCTCGCCACTGGTGTAGTTCGCATATAGGAAGGGAGTTTTTTGGACTCCCTCTCCCTCAGATCTCTAACACAAGTCTGAGGTGAGATAGATTTTATTATTCTTTACAAAAATTGTCTAACTGTTGGCGCAGACACTTACACGCCATAGGTACATACAATTTACAGATCTCTAACATGAGTCTGAGACACTTACGCACCATAGCCTTATATTTAAAAGTTACTATGTACATTGTATATAAGGAGGGGTCTGGAATCAAAAGGAGCGAGGGTACTCCAAAAGGAGACAAAGGGAGCTGGAAAGAGGAACAACACCAAGGGTCAAGGGTTTGACTCAATGGTGTTTCCCAAAGGAGGACTGAAGGGCCAAGGCCCAAGGAGGAATGTTATGGGGATGGGGGAAATTCCCCATTCCTCGATC